TTTTCTTCCTGTAATCTTCATAGAACTCTAACCTGATGGCTGCCATTAATTTGATTCCGAATTGATTCTAGAATGTAGTTTAATTAATTGTCTGTGCGATTTTATGTACCCTGTACTATTTTTACCTGCTGTTAGCTGCTCTGAGCCTGGCGGGATACAAAATAATAATAATAATAATAATAATAATAATAGTAATAATAATAATATTTGCAGTTCTATCGCCTGCAAGCTCTGCCATTGCAATCAAGTTTCATTCCACTGAGACTGGTATGTCTAAGACCCTGAACTTCCTGCCTGCAATAATTTAGAACTGACAAGACGATAACAAGACTCCATGGAGTTACTTTCACTAGATACCCTTCAGAGCATTTGATTATTTATTATTATTCCTAACTGCCCTATATCCAGTTTAGATCCACAGGCAGGTATACAAATACTGTTCCACAGTTTCCTTGAGAACGAGCTTATCCAAATTTGTTTATCACCGCAAACCTTCTGCTATGCAGCAGAGAAAACATAATTGCAAACATTTTAACAAAGATTTTTTTTTAAAAAAAAAGCTTTCTGCTATTGGTTCTGACCTATTTCTTTCACTTTGACTGGAAGGAAGGAAGCAGTTAAAGGAACACAATTGAAACTCCAAGCTCTATAAATAGAGTTTCCTTGGCAGCTGTCTCAATGGGCTCATATTTAAAGACGGCCTGTATACTTCTTCTTAACCGCCTCCCAAATTATCCTTCTTAGAATGTAAAATAAGAAACGCAAACACCTTACACCACACTAAGTCAAGACAATGTTGCTCCTATAACCATGAGAGATGACAGCCTTGACCTCTTACTGTGCCGACAGCAATCAGTATATCATCCCCATACTGTTCAAGTATAGTACATATTGTGCAATCCAGAGTTTCCCAACCTGTTAACACTTAGGGCACCACGTTTTCCTGCTTCCTTAAAGTTAGAGGCACAGTTCACCTGACAAACACACTGTAAGTATCCTCCTTGCAGCTGCAAGATAGCCCAGCTAAAACTGCTCTCAGCATCCCGCTCGCCCCTTCATCCAGGAATGGTGATGCTCCTGGAAGGTCTCTCCTCCTCCCGGAGGGGAGAGGTTGTGAGCGGGAGCAGCTTCCCGCAGCTCCTGATTGCTTCTGCTGCCGCGGCCAAGCCTTCCAGCCGACAAATAGGGCCAGCTGGTGGGCGGGGCTAACCACATTTAAACAGCCGCGGCAGCGCTCAGTTCACAATCGGTTTCCTGCTTTCATCGGATCCCCCGTCATCCCTCCCTCCCTCTTAGATCAGCTTCCTTTGCGTATTGACCTTGCTATGGACTTTGGTTGGTTGCCTTGGTTGTCCAAGGGGCCTAGTAGGACTTTTTAATCCATTTGGCAAATTGGCACCAGCCTCTTGGGTTTTGTTGCCTACCTCGTAGCAATTCATCACAACTTTCTGGGATTGGCAGGCATTGGAATATGTGTGCTGTGTTGGAGGATCTACCCCTCCTCTTTTGGGTATTCCGTTAAAGGAATCCAGCAGTTGTGGATCCTGCCCAATGCCCTGCTGGTGGCTAGGGCCATGGCACGACCCCCGGTGACGTCACGGGGGAGCTTCCAGTTGTATTTGCATCAACAAGCTCCTCCCATTGGTTGTTAACCCTGATATGACTCCCTGCTGAGCGGGGTGGAGTCATGTATTTGTGTTTCATCCAATGCCTAAGCCAATACTACTCACATGCTGTAACCAATAATAGTTGTGGCCTAATTTTGTGCATTAACCTAAAATAATGTGTCTTGGTGTCTTATTTATAATCCTATGCAGGCGGCGGGTCCTCAACTCCCAGTGCATATGAACTCTCCTATGAGCAGCACTGAAGAATCCTGGTGCATTGGCGAACTTGTGGCCCTACAGGTGCTGGGGAACTACAACTCCCATCAGCCATGGCCAACAAGGCCAATGATTAGCCATTACGGGACCCGGAATCCAAAAATTCCTCTATTAAGGCCACAGGTTCCCCATCCCCTGGTCTTCTGGGATTAATGCAGGGAAGTGGTAGCAGAGGTGGATTTAGCCCAGCTTCTGGAAGGAGGTGGTAGGACTCTAGGATGCTGCCAGAGCCTCACACCTCCTTCCCAAAGCCTTGCACCTCCCTTACCCAGCTTTGGGAAGGCATAGTGAGGGCTGGAGGTAGTGTCAAATGTTGGCTTTGCACAGGGTGCCATATTACCAAGGTCCACCCCTGTTGGTAGCAAGGGAAAATAGAAGTTTGGCTAGGAATACTTGGGGACCCCTGTGCATGGAATGTTCTTGCTCCCAAAGGCATAGAACATTCAATGGACCCAGCTTGGTGGCTTGATCTTAAGAGACACGCTTCCACCCTTCTCAGTTTGAGAAGTACTACATGCCTAGAAGTACTACATGCCTACATGTTCTCGAAGCTACCAGCATGAGTCTGACCAAACTGCAGGAGGCAGTGGAAGACAGGAGGGCCTGGCGTGCTCTGGTCCATGGGGTCACGAAGAGTCGGACACGACTAAACGACTAAACAACAACAACAAAACACATGCCTAGAAGGTACATTTTATCATATGTGGTGGGATTGTAAAAAGGCAAAAGCTTATTGGGAAATGATATATAATGAGTTGAAGAAAATGTTGAAAATAACTTTTGCAAAAAAACACAAAAACCCAGAAGCCTTTCTACTAGGTATCTTAGGCCAAGATATACCGAAAGAGAAGAGGACTTTATTTATGTATGCAACTACAGCTGTGAGAATGTTGATTGCACAAAATTGGAAGACTGGAGAAACACCAACTAAAGAACAATGGCAAGAGAAGTTGATGAACTATGCAGAACTGGCAAAAATGACAGACAATGAGAAAAAGACAACAGTGACTTTGAAAAAGAATGGGAACCATTTCTATTATATTTGCAGAAACAAAGAAAGTCTATAGACTTGATGGCACGGATTTAAATAAACACTCACATCATTAGTATTAGAAAATGTGTAGAAGATAGAGAAATAATATGGTGTACTTATTTTCATCTTTATGTTTTTAGGTTAGATGTTATTGTATAAATATGTTCTTAGTACTTTTTCTTTTAGGAGGTAGCAAGGTGGGTGAAAGGAGAAACAAACCAGAAGCGGAAGTTGGGGGAAGCCTAGGAGGGGAGGGAGGAAGGAATGAATACCGTAGATTCCGGCGTATTACGCAACTGGGCATACTAGACGGGGGTCGTCTTATAAGCCCAGTCTTATACGCTGGGCAGCAGCAGTGGGTGGGCTCCGTGCCGGGAGAAAGCCATACCTGGCGTATAAGACGACCCCCAACTTTTTAACCTCTTTTCCGGGGTTAAAAAGTCGTCTTATACGCCGGAATCTACAGTAGTAAATGTTATGGATATGAGATGCATGTAATGAATGAAAAAGAAAACTGAATAAAAATTTTAAAAGAGAGCGAGAGAAGCACTATATGCCTCAGACGTT